GGTACTAATAACTCTTCTTGTCCAGAATATTCCATAGGAAACTAATGAAAAAAATGGACAAATTAAAATGTGTAAAAGATTTTTAAAGTTAATGATATACTTTATTAGGTTATAAAAACTTGAGGGGAATTTTTGTATTCTTGGAATGCTTTAAAAAATTCTAATACTATACTATATTTTTGCTGTTTTATATTTTTACTAATTTATTATTGCTTCTATTTTGCTTTTATTATTTTTAATCAAATCTATTGGAGTTTTTTCTCCTATGTGATTTGATTTTTAGTTAATACTTGCTATATTCCTAAATTCATTAATTTTAGGAATCAGCATTTTTTAAAAAGCATATAAAATCTCTGATCTTATAATGGAGAAAACATTAAAAGTAGAAAAAGATTCAGATTAGGAATCAAAAGATGTAGTCTTGGCCTTGTTGTCAGCTATAAAGAGCATGTCATTTACATTCTTTGAGTCTCAAATTCGTGATTTGTAAAATGAAGGTAATCTATATGATTTCGATAATTCCTTTTAGCACTAAAATTCTAGGGGATACTGTTTTTGGTGAAAAAAATAAAATTACAAGGTGCTTTACAGATATAAAAAGGATTAAGTCTGTGGGAAATGAATTCATTTAACAAAAAGTCATTCTCTGGCTAATTTGTAGAATTCATCAATTCTGTTAGACAAAGGGTTACTGTCTTTTCAATAACCTTCTTGTAGATATCATTGGACTTTTTACACATGTTACAGTATTGAAAATCAGTGGTGACATATGGCCAGATATTGTAAGCCTTCTTGAGGCAATGGGAATTAGATGCTATTAACACCAATGAAGTTCCTGTTAATTTAAGTATTTTTTCTCCATTTGGTAGTTTATTGAGATACAAAATGGAAACCTGATCGTGTGGGCATTTTACCACTCATTCCTGATACATATTACTGTTTTGTCATTTAATTTATAAAGACATTTTTAAGTATTTTGTTTTTCAGTTTTCACTTTGTTCTTTCATAAATAACAAAGACAAAACTGAGGAAGATCTTGAAAGAAAAGCTATTATTCATTGATGGCCACTGCACATTCAATGCCATCTGCCTTGTTTTCTGGATTAGAAACACATGCTAATTTAATAGAAGGGCCTTGTGAGTATGTGTATGTATATGTATGTATGTGTGCAAAAGAAAGAGAAGGGCTGTGTTCTTTAGATCTCTTCATTTTTCTTCCTCTTTCTTTCAGCATATAGACTTTTGTTCAGTTTTAGGAACATGTCTAACAATTTTCAGTCCCTCTCTCATGGACTTAATTTAATGCAATGTTCTGTCTATAAGTGCTCCTGGTGGGAAGAGATTTAAATAGAAAGCAATTAATTGTTTTACTTTTTTTTTCATTGTTTGTTTTAGGCGAGCGTTATGTACCTGGAGTGGGAAATGTGACCAAAGAAGAGGTCACAATGAGAGAAATTATTCACTTGCTTTGTATTGAACCCATGCCACACAGTGCCATTGCGAAAAATTTACCTGAGAACGTAAGACCAGTTTTGGTTTTTACTTCATTCACCTCAAGATGGGATGGATAGTTTATTTCTTTTTATCTAATTGGAAACTACTTCAAAGTTTTAGGAAAATTTGGTTAGCAAATTCTTCTGATGTAAAACCATCACCATTCATTCTTTTTCTAAAAATATTTTTAATTGATTTTTTACAGAGAGGAAGGGAGAGGGATAGAGAGTTAGAAACATCGATGAGAGAGAAACATCAATCAGCTGCCTCCTGCACACCTCCCACTGGGGATGTGCCCGCAATCAAGATATGTGCCCTTGACCGGAATCAAACCTGGGACCTTTCAGGCCGATGCTCTATCCAGTGAGCCAAACCGGTTAGGGCACCATTCATTCTTTAGTGGTATAAATTTTAAGTCTGGGCTTTGGGGCATTAGGAAACATTTTAGAAACATTCTGGCTATTTAGGAGACATTTTAGAGCAAGAAACTCCTTGACCTTTTGTTTACTTTAAAATAAGACTTTTTCAGAGGAAAGGTGGGGGGGGGGCTACCTAAAATATTGAGATTATTTGGGTGGGTGTTAGTTTGAGTCTTCTGAGAAGCAGATGTCAAGACAAAACATTTAAGATTTTATTAGGAACAATGCCTAGGAGAGAAAATGGTGAGGAGA